CCGGTTCTTCTAATAAATAATAAGTTTAATATCTACTTTTAAATACTCAAATAATTCGAACTCAAACAATACTCAACAATTAATTATACAAGTTTAATAAAGTTTATTTAAATAAGTTGGGGTTAAATTTGGGGAGCAAGTTTGATCAAGACGAGCTTGAAAGGTAAAATGACAAACAAGTATTTATAGGGTAAGCAAATGGGCGGAAGTAGGTCAGACGAGAAAGTTGTAAAACATAGATAAGAAAATAAATTATTTAAAGTAAATGAGAGGAAGTTTTAAGATCAAAGTAAATGTTTGTTTTGAGGGAATGTTTTGAATATTTAAAATGGGAAAATAGATAACAAACATTTACAGCACATTTTGGGGTCAATAAATATTTGAAAATAATATTTTAAAAATAATTAATTAAATGTCGAAATGAGGATCCAACACTCCTTTCCCCTTTAGAAAAATATTCGCCTAATTGTTGAGACAGGTATCCAACACTCCTTTCCCCTTTAGAGAATTGATGTCCATATTTTTTTGTTGTTTACATTATCCATCAATTATATTCTCCACAAACATGGGTCTTATGACGAAAACGGTTATCAGCCAATTCTTGGCCTCTCTAACACTTGTTTTAACGTAAGAGGTGGAAGATGCACAAATTACGCACATCCATTTCATCTCCATTTGGGGCTCATTTTATCAGATATTATTATTTCCTTCTCCGCAAAGTTCGCGGGATTTTAATAAACCTATAGTTCTTTTAACCGTTTCACATATTATATGTTCAATTTTTTTTATCTCTCCTGAAAAAGAGGTAGTTTGATGAAGCTATTAGAAGTCAATTTTTAATTTTTGAATTATTCTTCATTCATTTTGGGGATGTTGTTGTTTGTTGTTTATCTACTTTTTGTTGCAAATCCAAATCTCATCATTCGCCATTTAAATAAATTACAATTACAAAGAAAAATTACAAAATATAAATTAATATTAGGGGGTATAAAGATAAGGAAGGATAACAAAATATAAGTTTTCAATAATTGATAAATGCGATTAAATAAACTAATTTTTTTTTACAACTTTATTTCTAAAATCTCAGTCATTTTTGACTGGACGGGAGCTGCGAAATTCTCAACCTATGTTGGTCATTATGCGCTATTTTAAGAGATCCGCTTTCCCTTTCAACATTATTTTGAAAGCGATTTCCTCTCGGATTATAATCCGGATTGCGATAAAAACACTTACTGGCAATATGTCCTCTTTTCTGGCAATAAAAACATATCATATTTTCCTTCTCAAACTTATTGATCTTTAGATCATCTAGCATTCTTGATATTTTGTCTAATTCTCTGCTTCTAATTAATTTATACTCATTCGGAATTTTTATAAGCTCCCAGTTTGTAAAATTTAACATAAGGGGTAAACAACTTAATGTTTCTCTACCAATAATGGCGCTATATGATTGATTCTTTTTCTCAGTATCTTTAATAATTACAAAATTTGTTTGAATTTTGCACTCAGCGATTTCTAACTCGACTGTAGCCTGACCTAGAGTCGGTACTAATTTATTGCCAATACCGTAAACTGCTGGAAAATTTGCAGCGGACATATCTTTTAGACCAATTTTCTTGGCATTGGAATTACTAATAATTGATGTATGTGCTCCAGTGTCTAGCAAACATATAGTTGTAATTCCGTTAATTTTAGTTAATATTCTGGAATTTGTGTCACACTGGGTATTTTTTTCAACGCAAATTTTAATATTATTTTGTTTATTTTTATTTATATCTCCTCTTCCAGTTTTATTCCTAGAGGGCCATCTTTTAGAAAGTGGAATTTTATTCTCTTCTAACTTACTTTCATTTTCCATTTTGTTCTTAATTTGTCGAATACGTTTCATTCTTTTATTTTTCTTTCTATAACTCTTTATTCTACTGTATTTTGCGTCTCCAATATTTAGAATATTTATTGGGCCTGCTGAAATCAAGCATAAAACAAATTTTAATACGAATAGAACCGTAACAATACAGCTAAAGACTATTATACTTAATTGGTTTAATGTCTCCTCTCTCTGTATATAGCTATCAAAAAAGCCTCTGCATTTATTTACATCAGTTTTTGCACATTCATTTTCAAAAGCAGGAGTTTTATTTTTCAATATATTATCTTCAAGAATAAATTTAGGGCATATCAGATCGTTTGTTAATCTCCATGTTGAAATGGATGTGTTATTAAAGCATCTCATAGGGGCGCTAAAAGATGAGCCAATTAAACAGAATAATGCGAGAACTACAAGCATAAATGGGCTCACACTTCCTATTCGTGGACTTCTATTTCTCTCAAATCTCATTCTTCGATTTGGCGATCGAATATAGTAATTATTTGAACTTCGTTCTGGTGAATTAATTTCTCGCTCACTACTACTTGAGCGGCTACTTAGGCTACTTGAGCTATCGTAGTTTTTATAATTTCTTTTTCTATTATTTGACCAGTTATTTCTTTGATAATTTTCATGTCTATCAAGTCTATTCTCGGTAAAATTATTATAATGTCTACTATAATTTTGACTATTCTGCCAGGGTTCAAAACTCCCAAACTGTTGGGGTCTGTAATTTCTCTGATTGTACTCAGGTCTAAGGAAAAAGCAGTTTCTAGCAATATGACCTGTTTTCTTGCAATTAAAGCAGATAATTTTTCTTCTTTTATTATTTTGTACAGTTAATGCTTCTACTTTTTGGGCTAAACTCTCAACATAAATATTATCATTAATATTATGGCTAGCTTTTCTTGCCTTAAGCAGTAGTTCATAATTCTGTGCTATTTCATAAGCATTTTCATATTCAAGCGGCCTTTGCGCTTTAACCTCGAATTGCAAATCGGGTAAAAGTCTATCCAAAAATTCATCTAAAAGACGTTTTTTAATAGTTTCCTCCTCTTCACCTGAGAGGGCTGTGCGTACAGTATCCGATAGACGGTTAGCAAATTCAAAAACTGATTCGCCTGGAGCTTGTCTACAATTAGATAGCATTTGGCGGGCAATTATTTTACTATTGCCGTTCTCATATTTCCTTTTTAAAACTGTAATTGCCTCCACCAACGTATTAGGTTGGGGGTTTATTTCATCAAACGCTATTCGGGCTTGACCCGCTAAACAAAAGCGTAAACGCAATAATTTCTGCGCTTCAGTAGGCTCCGTCATCAAAGATAAGACGTCCTTAAATTTCTCTATCCACTTAGTGAACGATACAGTAGGATTTCCGTCGAATGTTCCCACCATAAATGCTCCATTTCCTATAAATGGGTCAGTAACATACGCTTCTCTATTATATCTAACATGATTATTATCAGTCTCATTCGCCCCACGAATGGTCATCTCCGATTCGTCTTCAGAACTATCTTCTTCCTCCTCAAAATTTTCATATCTTTTATTTTTATAGTTCTTTCCTAATTTAACAATTGTATTCATTGTCTCTTCAAAATTCGTTTGAAGGTCTGTTACATTTTTACGTAATTTCGTTATTGAGCCTTTTGTTCCTGAAAGGCTATCCTTATCCTTTTTTACACCTTCCTCAATCGAATCTAATCTTTCTTCGACGTGGCGAAAACTTTGAGCCACGGAGCGCTCAAAAAAGCGAAGTTGTCTCAAAATCTTATCAAACGCCTTATTTTCTTCATCACTGAAAAACTCAGCCGCAAAATCAGAACCTGACATTTTTCTCTTCTTTTCTTCAAATTTTACTCGAAAATATTTTTTCAAATTCTTTCACTTTTAATCACTCTTTTTTCAATCAAATCTCTTTTTTCAGTTCAATCTCTTCTTTTTATTTAATTTTCTCTTTAAATTCTTCTTCAACTTTTTCAAAACAATCTCTTTTTTCTTAAATTCTCTTTTTTTCAATATAATCTTTTTTTCTCTTCTTTTTTTTTTCAATCAATTTTTCACTCAAAAATTTCTTCTTCTTTTAAATTCCTCAAATAAAATCACTTCAAAAATTCAAATTAAATTTTTTTAAATTTAATCTCCGTTTTAATTCGCAACGGGTTCGTGGCACCAGTATTATATCCCGGTTCTTCTAATAAATAATAAGTTTAATATCTACTTTTAAATACTCAAATAATTCGAACTCAAACAATACTCAACAATTAATTATACAAGTTTAATAAAGTTTATTTAAATAAGTTGGGGTTAAATTTGGGGAGCAAGTTTGATCAAGACGAGCTTGAAAGGTAAAATGACAAACAAGTATTTATAGGGTAAGCAAATGGGCGGAAGTAGGTCAGACGAGAAAGTTGTAAAACATAGATAAGAAAATAAATTATTTAAAGTAAATGAGAGGAAGTTTTAAGATCAAAGTAAATGTTTGTTTTGAGGGAATGTTTTGAATATTTAAAATGGGAAAATAGATAACAAACATTTACAGCACATTTTGGGGTCAATAAATATTTGAAAATAATATTTTAAAAATAATTAATTAAATGTCGAAATGAGGATCCAACAGTTTTCAATTTTTAAAATTTCATTTAAAGGTTTCTTCCTTTCAATTAATTGAATAAATGAATTCAAATCACTTTTTGACGTACAATTATGTTTTTTGGGGTTATCCATCTTTAAAAAACCGTTGGAAATTATTAATAAAAAATTATTTTAGTGAATTTTTGTAATAAATGAAAGTTTATTTCAAAATAATTTTAACTATTCCATATTTAAAATTAGGGTGGCCCCAGGTCCCTCGAACCCTCAAAACTTTGACCACGACTCCCCCCCCCCCCCCGCCCCTCCCCGGCAAACACCGACACTTGAAACCCCAGACCCCGAAGTTCTGATGTGTTTGATAGTTTTACTACATTTAAAAGTAGGGTTGGGATGTTCGGACCGGGCCGACGTTCAGTCATTTTTTCGGGCCTAATTTTTATCAAAGCGGACCGACCGAGTCCTTTTCGGGCAAACCGTCCGGACAGGGCCACCAACCGTATTCAAACGTATCGAAAGAAGCTTTCATTTAAAATTTTAATCAAATAAAAAATAAATTGTAACTAAAAATATGATATACAATTTTTGGTGTCCATAAAGGCGTCGTTATTGTTTCATCTGATTCATTTATTTCTTGTGTATTATTCAGCTTATAATTACTAATCTTTTCTGTCAATTTATTTGTTGTTTCTTTAATATTATTTTCATTTTTAATTTTATTACAAACAAAAATATCATTAGCTAGCCAAGTATCCCATTGTTCCATTTATACTTTTTAAATAAAATCAATCAAAATTAAAAAAAATTATACTTCTATAAAAATAAATTGTTTCTATAGCAACGAATTTAAAATAAATATTTTTTAAATGGAAAAAATAAACCTATTTTTAAGGAAAAATTTATAAAAAATTTTTAAATGAATTTAAGGAAAAAATAATAATGTGTGAATACTTGCCTGAAATAATGTGAATAAATATAATTGTTAGCCTTTTAATCTAAACAGTTTCTTAAAGTTTTTATAAACATTTCTTTGTTCTTTCTAGCTTAAATAAAAACAGATTTTTGTCCTTATCTAATTTGAAGCACAAATTTACATTTTAATAATATCAATAAATTAAAATTACAAATATTAAAGTAAAAATATAAATAAATTTGACAAATATGAATACTATTTATCATTGCTAAACTCAAATATTTAAATCTCAAATAATATTTAGGCAAACAATTATTTTTTAATTCAAATTTTATATTTTTATTCATCAAACAATTTTATATATTGGGAAAGGGTGAAGCTTAAAAGGGGAAATAATGGCTAAGAAAGTGAATGTAATAATCGAATAATTAAAACATTTAAATAAACAAGTTTTAGATAATTAAGCAAAAAGAGGGAAGTTTAGAGCAAAATAATAATGTTATTTTTACAAAAATAATATTATGATTAATGGAAAAATATACAAATAATTTTATAAATATTTTGCTTGAATTTTATTTCCAACAGAATTGGTTTTAGAACGTTTCCGATGTGCTGTTTTTTTTAAAAATTATTTATGCATTTAAAACAATGTTTACGTGAACTTAATAGTGTAAAAATAGTAAAATTAATTTCAGGAAAATTACATTAAATTTTCTGATGGTGAAATTTATAAGAATCGACCAATAAATTTTTATTCTTTTAACAAATTGAGGTTAAACATTATAAAAATAACTTTTGAAATATTTATTTTTATCTATTTATTTAAAATAAAATAAGCAACAAAACGGGGTGAGCCATTCATATTGTTGCACTATATATTAATTTGTACTAATTACCCTATTTTGACTTTAGAATTTTATTTTTATTGTCTATAAGTTGTTTATAACCCAATAATGTATATCTTAAGTGCCTTTATTGTTAATATAGTGTATTTCGAAGGGAAAGAGAAAGTTAGTATTAAGCCATTTTTGAGCCAGTAGGAGAGAGATTGGCATCCAAGGAGTCACGTTTATTTGCGATATTTGATGAAGATTAATTATTTCTATTGGAAAATTAGTATAAATGTGATTCTTAAATTATGTCAAATATTTATATGTTCCTTCATTTTTGGCTACATTTTTTCATTACAATCCATCTTAATTTGATTAAAAATCAAAAAACAAATATATTTTCACGAGTAAAAAAATAATTAAATGAATATAATAACACAGCACGCCTCTTGTGGAACGTGCTGGCATGGGCCATTCCATTCGGGGTATTTGGTGGACTTCAATATAAGAGAAACCTAAATCCTATCGGGAAGCTTAAAGGGTTGATCAAGTCCTCTGGCTTGCCGAGGCACAGATATTAATTTACACAGAGATGTAACAGTGTCTTTATTCAACAGGGAAAATACATATAAATAAAACCAACAATAAAATATATATTTACTAACTCCGACCAAACATAACAATTAACTGAACCAATTACAAAGGAAAATAAAAGGATTAAATATATGAGCAATAAATGGGCGGAAATGTGTTTAATGGGAAAATCATTTAATGGAAATACAAAATCTCTTTGCTCTTTAACCTTCGGGATAAAGTCCTTCCTTACACCTCCAACCCCAGGGAAGACCGTCCCTGGTCTTAAAATATCTAATTCCCAAACAGTGCCATTTAACCTAGGTTTAAAATTTTTGTTCTGACTGACGTTCCACTCTTTCTCTCATTTCACTCCTTTCCCACAAAGGATCATCCTTGATCCTAAAATTTGTTCTACAGACTGGTTTTTGCCGAGGCCCCCAGTCTGTCTTTTTTTTGACCCTTTCGGGTATTTTCGATGATCTCTTGTTTCCTAAAGCGCTTTTTAGAGTGGATTGTCAGTCAATTTTGATTTTATTTTTCTTCCTTGCAGAAATTTTGGCATGTTTGGAAATTTGATTATTTTTTTTAGTTGCCCATATTTTGTCCCCCTTTTTGGTTTAAGAGCAAATATTTTGAGAATGTGTAAAATAATAACAGTCTGAATTACCTAAGTAAGTGGAAATAGTAAAATGCTCAAATTTAGTTAAAATTTCAAATAACTTAAAATTAAAAACAAACAAATTTGACGCCTAAATTAAATATTGGAATTGAATTGCTTTGGAAGAGGATAGGTTAGTTATTGTAAGAAAAGTATGCATAAGCTAAGTTAAAATTGTAGATACCTAAGTATCTAATATTCTAACCTAACTTTTGCAATTTTTAGTGCAATAACTAGCTCCTTTAAATCTCAAAAAAAAATTAGAATAAAAGTTGATAATCATCACAAAATATTTTCCAAAATAAAGATATATCAATCCATATAGGATTGTATACCTAGTTTTTGATAAAATATTTTGTAGTGATTATTTGACCTTTATTGCCTATGGGGAAAATAATAAAATATTTTTTTAATTGTGAATGGACAGGGAGTGAGGAAAAATGGCAAATATGAAAAATTATGGAAAATTGATTATAGATGGTAATTAATAGTTTAAAAATTAAATTGATTATGTGTGGCAGGAAAATTTGATAAAATGATTGAATGAGGGTAAGATTAAAATTTGATAAATAGAATAATTATGTGAATGTATAGTTAAGTTAAAATAAATTGATTGATTAAAATAATTAAAAATTAAGAAAAATTGATTAATTGACAAAATAATTAAATTAACATTTCATTCAAAATTAACAAAACAAATTAATAATTTCCTCTCCAAGTATTACATTCACGAGCAAAATGACCAGCCTTTCCGCAATTGAAGCATGTTCTGTCAGTATTTCGCACAAAAGTCCGAGAATTCCAACCACGCCAACTGTCAGGTGCTTGCCTTTTGGGTTGATTCCTATAAAATTCAGTGTTAGTTTTCATATTTAAATTATTAAAATCGTTTTCAAACCAATCCTCTGAACGGTTACGTGAACTTGGTCCAGGTGCACTTGAGTCCTGTCTCCACGTTTCATTTGGTCTTTGTTGTTGTTGTTGTTGCCTGGGCCCTTCCAACACACCAGCGATTGTCTTGTCAGCTGTCACCAGTTGAGTGTTGAGCAGATCACGGCGAAGACCCTTCAAATAATTAATACCAACAATTTTCGTGAAGGAGGACGCTTTCTCGAAAAACCTTTGCCAAACAGACCCACCACTCAAACTCTCTACGTCCCCGATAACTACCATTCCATGCTTGGCACGGGAAAGTGCTACCGTCGCACGCCTGGAATCGTGGAGGAACTCTGCATTCTCATTATTCTCAAATTTACTCTTCGACCTGGTGGTAACAAGTACAATCAAATCGCTCTCCTGTGCCTGATATCCATCTACTGACACTACCAAAACATTCATGTTCAAAGCTTCAAATTCACGACGGAGACAATCTTTTTGAAAAACATATAAACAAATAACAACAATATTTCGAGCAAAATTTTCATACAAGGCGGAAACAATCAGAATTGCCGAAGCAGTGTGAGCATCATTTGTTGAGGAGTGCGTTATAGTATCTTGTCTGCAGTTACCCACTATATCCAACAAAACTATCGGACAAGATTGAACTGGCAGTGGAAAATTCGAGCCGGTTAGAAGTGACCGTTCATTTTCTCCTCTACCTGGCTCAAGCAACTCTCCATGTTGTTCATACGCAGCAAACGAGACAACCTTCACCAAAGTGGGGTGCATTCGATAACAAGTCACAAGACGATTTTGTTTTACCATTGGTGAGACAACAAGTTGTTCAACCATAGATTCAAGACCGTACCCTTCCCGAAGGACTTGTGGAAGATCTTCTAGATGGACGCCCAACTGGAATTGGTCACCAGTGACGAGGACCTTTTCCAAATTGGGGAAGCGCGACATCAGGTGTGCCAATACGACAAAAGATCCCTGCGTTGCCTCGTCAAAAATCATTGCAGAAACACCACGAAGAGATGTATTAAACATGTCTTCTGCCATAGTGGACGTAGCAAATACAATTCGGAGATCAGAAACTTCAGACAACAACGACGCCATTCTTTTTTCCCTGGTCAATTTAGGCCTGCTCTCAAAATTTGTGCAGTATTCATCAATATCTTTTTCATCAGACTTCATTAATTTTTCTTCAATTTCTTCCAATTTTAATTTAGTTACCAGCATGTGTCGGCGGAGATTCGCGAGCAATTCTCTATATTTGTCTTTGGCATATCCGGAAAAGAAGGCAACCGCGCTGGAGGATTCCATTTCATCGCCACCTAATATCTGCTCTAATTCATTTACAAGCTTAGCCAACGGAAGATTCGCCGATGTTATGACTGCAACTTTCATGTTTTTAAACAATGCCAAGATAAGCGCAACAACTATCGAGGCTACATAGGTTTTCCCAACACCAGGCGGTGCTTGTTGGTAAACCAACTTACACCCATCCCCTAAAAGCATTCTCGCAGTGTCTTTCTGCCTCTCATTCAACAACCGCATCAGTGGATTCTGTCTTGCCGAAGCATCAACCTCAATTTCATCTTCCGGTTCAATTTCTCTCCCCAGAAGAACATTCATTAACTTTCCTTGGTTTGTATCCTGCCTGGCTAAATAAGAGGGAAGATTTCCCATAAAACACCCTCTTCTGCTTTCAAGCCCTTTAAATATACACGGATACACAACCACAAATCCTCCCTCTTCAGCCATTTCCAATTCATCTTCAACATTTCGCTTTTTTCTATATTGTATATTCACTACCTTCACTACAACACAGAAATCAAATTTTTTCTTCCCTAAGGAGTATACTTCATTTACTTCAATTCTTCTTATAACCCCAATCGCAAAATGAG